TTTTCTTCTGACTTTTATATCCAAGATATTTGTTAGATGATCTACCTTTCATGCTCTTAGCTATTACAGTATTTAAACTCCTTCATAGAGACAACATAAGAAATTTGTGACATTAGTAAAGTTGACGATAGACTCATGTTGTGAAATGACTCATGTTAGATAATCTACCATATATGATTTATGATTTGCAAATCGGAAGTTCTAAATACAAAGAAATGCACAATTCACAAAAGCTGCACAAAATTTATTTTTGTCATATGTATGTTTTTGGTTTAATGAATATGATATATGTACACACAACTTTTTATAGAATGTGTAGTCTTTCTCAAATAATTTTAAAATTTTTTGATGCTGCTTTATTCTTGTTATGCAGGAACTTGGATTTGATTATCTTGGAAGCATAGAACAACTTGTCATGAGGTTACAAGCAAACTGGAATATTTAAACAGTTGTTTCCTTCTTCTTTTTTCTTTCACCTTTTCCTATCTTTCCATTATGTTTCTTTTTTTTTTCCTTCATGGATTACAAGCAAACTGGAATATTTAAACATGCCTTTGAGTGTTGACTTGGAAATAGAAATGAATGTAACTATTTTGCAGTGAGAGCAAATTCTTTATTTATCATAATATGCAATTTGTTTGGAGTATAATTTGATGTTTGGTTTCTTTGTTGATGTGAATGAGAGCAAATTTTTGTGGATGTTCAGGTTCAGTGTATGCTTGTAGTTGACAGAAAAGATATTACTTTTGGCGATGCAAATTAGTATCGATAGTATACTTTTTACGGACACATAATTATGTCTTGCCAAAAATTATATCTTTTAGCGACGCTATCTTGCGTCGCCAAATATATAGTTTTTAGCGACGCTTCATTCTGCGTCGCTAAAAGCTAAACTTTTATCGACGCTAACTTGCGTCGCCAAAAGTATAATTTTTAGCGACAAACAGTTTTGCGTCGCTAAAAGCTATACTTTTGCTGACGCATTGGCTTTTGCCAACGCTACATGCGTTGCCAAAAGCACAAGTTTTGCCAGTTTTGGCAACGCACTTTTGCAATATGAAAAAATTCTGCATACTTTTGCCGACGCAAATTATTATGTGTCGCTGAAAGATGTATTTTTCCCAACACATGAAGCGTCGTCAAAAGTGTTGACTTTTACCGACGCAGTGTGTTTGCATCGCCAAATATTTTCCTTGACGCACTTTTGGTGACGCATTAGCGACGCTGCATTTTGCGTCGGGAAAGATTTTTCCTGACGTTTTTAAACTTTTGCTGATTTTTTTGTTTCGTCGGCAATGCTATATTTGGTTGTAGTGATTATAAGACTAAGAAACTTTAGGAACTTAGTTTATGCTTAATATTGTTTATTCATTAGCTATTGATTTGTTCACGCATGCACCTTATTGATTATGTTATTAACTTAAGATAGAAGATGATAGTTATTCACACTACAAGAAATACAGTATTTAACGACCAAAATTAGTAAAGGGACCAGTTGACCATCATTAATGTGCATGTAATAACGATGAGTTTTAAAGCATTCGTCGAGTGATTACAAATATTAGAGGAATGATGTGAGATGGGACAACGGTTTTCTAGTCCCTTCGTTAAGTTGATCCTAATACTATCGTTTTTGGGTCTCTTTAAAGACGAAGTGGTCAATTAACTTCATTAATCATAATTCCTAATCATATCAGAAGTAGTAATCAAAATTAATATAAATAGAGCATTGCTTCGGTGCTCCCAAATTAACATTTTTTTAGCATTTTTAATTTGAAAAAAATAATTAAAACTGCCTAAAAAGATGGAAGGGTATTTTGGTCCAACCTGATGAAAGAAATTATTCAAATTAATTTTGTGGAAGGTAGGCGTAAGAAGAAAAAAAAATTTGAAGAAAGTTTCTCGGCAAAGATCCCAGAGATTTTACATCTGTTTTATAACGTATTAGTTCCTAAATTACCCTTATTGTTAATTTAAAAGTTCTATCCCTTATGGTTAATTTAAAAGTTCTATCTATTTACTAAAATACCAATGGAACTCCTTTTAACTAACATATCCTACAATTAATTAAGGATTAGAGGGCTAAATATCCGGTTTCACAATTATATTTCCTGCCATCGGAACTTCCCAACTGATTTTTGGGAGCACCAAAGCGGTCGGCATATAAATAACCCGAAACTTAAACCACCCTCTCGGCTCTAACCGCAAATATATATATACATACACTGATACACATATTAAACTAAACCCTAACTAAAAACAAGCCCAACTGTTCATCGTCATCTTCTCTTCAATTCATCGCCTTAAATCCTGCCGACGCAGTTCGAGGCCGAGATCCAAACCGTCGTCAGTTTAACCGCTCAAAGTCAAAGAATAGGAGTGCCTATACGAGTGTTGGTAGAAATCAATGTCGGTATTGTAAAGAAGAAGGACATTGAAAGATTGACTGCCCAAAGTGGAAAGAAAAAGCCGGAAAGAATAAGGGGAAAGCTGCACAAGCTTCAGAAGTGAATGTTGCAAAAGCTATTGGTGAGCATTCAGATTCAGATTCTTCAGGCTATTCATGCCCTGCTTTACCGTCGGTTTGCTATGCGGATTCCACGGAGTGGATGATGGATTCGGGAGCTACATATCACATCTGCCCTAAGAGGGAGTGGTTTTCTAGCTTTGAGGAGCTGGAAAGAGGGGATGTCGTGCTTATGGGTAATGATCACGTATGCCCTATTGGTGGTATTGGTTCAGTCCGGATCAGGATGCATGATGGTGTAGTGAGGGAATTGAAGGAAGTGAGGTTCGTGCCGCAGTTGACGAAGAACATCATTTCTTCCAGCCCCGTCGTCGCCTCAGGCTCGACGGTAAAACGCTGTAGTGTTATGTATTTGCACAATTAAATTTGCACTCAAGTCCCTATAGTTTACCCTACTTCGCACTTACGTCATAAAGCACCCTATACTTAAAAGTACCCAATAGTTTTGTTTGGTGTAATTGCGCTCAAGTACCCTATAGTTTTTTTTGGACAATTTTACCCTATAGTTTTTGTCGGACGATTTTCAGTTATAATTTCTTATTAGCTAAGTATTATTTTTTTGGTAAGTAATTTTATTACCAAAGTTTGCAATAAGCAATTACAATGTAAATACTCAAAGTATGAATCCTCACAACTCAAGGAACGTACACCAAGACTAAACAAAACAAAACTTAAGCATTTCTGCGTTGTAGTTGCACTGTCGTTCTTGATAATGATGAACCTTTTAAAGAATCACAAGTATTTTAATTAGCCAGTATGAGAAATTATTAAATTAATTATATCGGAAGGTGCATTTGATGAAGTAATGGAAAAAAAACCCTGATTAGGTAGCAAGATGTTAAAGATCCCAAATGCAGTCATCTCTTTGTTGCCATCATTGTTGTAGTTCTTGAACATGGCAAAACTCCTTCCAAATGCAATTCCTTCCTGTGCAGATAATTGATTATGACTTGCTAATTTTCTAGAATAAATAATTGATTATGACTTGCTAATTTTTGATCTCAGGATTCTCAAAAAATTGGAATGAAGTTTTTCTTAATTGTTGTTTGTTGTAATTCTCACAGAATAATGGAAGACCGTCAAGTTGATAAATTCACAAAAGGAATCAATAATGTCGTTGTAATTTTGAAATTTTTTTGGGAAAACACTACAGACACACCCCCAACCACACATTGGGGCATACCCCCTCTCTCAGCTACAGTACACGGGACCCACTTTAGATTTTTTAAAAATCTAAAGTGGGACCCATGCACTGTAGCTGAGAGAGGGGTGTGCCCCGAGGTGTGGCTTGGGGGTGTGCCTATAGTGCCACCCATTTTTTTGTATACTGTTGGAAATTGATGCTTTCTATAAGGTTATATATTTTTTATCATCAATTAATTGGGTTTAGTTTTCTGTCATAAAGGATCACATTGTTAAGTTATCATGACAAATTATCTTACTAATTAATCTCTTCCTTAACTAATAACTTCGTAAATAATACAAAGTAAATAAGGAGGCGATGGTCCAATTGTCCAATCTTATTGTTTCTTCATGAATAAACTAATAATTCTCTATTTTAGGTGTTTTTAAAAAGATTCTTTAACTGATTAGAGTTTTATTTGTGGTGTCTCCGTCCGTTATGCTTGAAGTCTTAAACCTTTCATATCAACTAAATTTGGTTATCAGTACACGTCAAATATCTAAGAATTACGTAAACTCTCAAGTGATGGACGTTGTTATGTAACGGTTCCATGATATTATATGCTTCGAAAGGATATAGCAGATCAATATCACGCACAAATATCGTTCATCTTGATGTGTAACACATTTGGATTGTTTTTACTCATAAGAACATGCATGCATATTTGATTAAACATCACCTTGGAAATCTCTAACATAACTTCAAAGTCTTCAATTTTAACTTTTAAGTGCAAAAAAAAAAGGAAAAAGAAATATCAAACTATGGCCTTTTTTCCTGAATGTCTCAAGCAAAATCCTAATTGTGCAAACTATGGCCTTTTTCACGAATGTATCAAGCAAAATATTATTGCTGTTGTTCTAGAGTGGGCATTAGAATGGTGATTAGTAAATAGGTCAGCACACGTAATTAAGAAGGTTTAGGAAAAGTAATCTCTAAATTTTTTTTGTCTTTTTATTTATTTATTATTTTGTTTGGTAAGAAACTAGAATGCTGGAAAATATGTTATGATAAACCTAGTAAAAGTTAAAATAATCCGCATGTCCACTTAATTAACTAGAAACACAACTTTATTAATACTAGATGTAGGTCAACCTGTTTGCAGCTGTATCCAAATTTAGCTGTAGTTTTAAGGTTCTTATGGTGTATATGAGATCAGGAATCTGGAAAAAGGTCTTTGGATTAAATCTAGCTAAGATATATAAACTCATCATCTAAACTCTATATTTTCAATTAAAAAAAAACTTAACCTTTTATATAACCTCTATCTCATTTTATTTTTGTACAGTTATTGGTGCAAAGGATATGGAGGAGATCGAGAACGAAGTGAAAGACGTACAGTATGTCAAGAAGATACCCCCAGCTGGATGGAAATTTTTACCCACCGACGAAGAAATCATCTTTGAATATCTCCGCAAGCGAATTCTCAACGAAAAGCTTCCATGCGAAGATGTCATCGAAGAAGTCCACCTATACGAACTAGACATCCCTGATCTCGCAAGTCAGTCCCTATGCGAACCGCCTACTTATTTTTATGATATACACGTTTATGATTGTGTAAATGGAGAATCTGAAGTGGTTGTGTGCTCATAATGCACTCACGTAGAACTTTTATTTTGAGTGTGAGTAATATCCCCGTGTAACAGGGGTGTTAACGGAGCGGATACGGTTCGGATATGGCACTTACCATATCCATATCTGCTTACTCATCTCGGATACAGATACGGATATAAATTTACATCGGTAAGAAAAATTCATATCCATATCCGCCAAAATCGGATATAGTTACAGATATAGATGCGGATATATAAATGAATATGTATGCGGATACAAAAAAGATATGAGAAAATTAGATAGTATTCAGAAAAATATAGTCATGTGATACAAAAGAATTCATTAATATGTTCATTATGATTGAAAAGCTAATATTAGACATCTTGATCATTAAAATTAACCACAAATCCATACTCTAAGAATCGAAACTATCGTAAGAGTATGACCAATATGTATTCGGATATTTCGGATACAGATACAGATATTTCACTTCAAAACCATATGTATAACCATATCTTATCAGTTATAGATTTGAGTAACCATATCCGTATCCTAACGGATACAATTACGGATATTTCCTCGGATATGGATAAGTGTTCAATGAAACAACCCAAAGAACTATAAGAAGATGAGAATGATGGGTATGAAGTGGCGGCTCATTTTGCTAAATGGGCTACCAATAGACAGAATGGTGAGGTCCACACCTTTAGATGTAACTAGCAACGTGGACCTCACTACGTGGCCATCATTTATTAGTTCATCTACCAAAGTAAGCTGTCAGCTCATCCTCATTATCTCCTAATCTATTCCTTTATACAAATAGGAGAATCAGAGAATTCCTATTCATGCTACAGTAAATTCAACAGTAAAGTAATTGCTGTATTATAAACAGGTGCTTTATTACTGTAGCAACTGGGAACACTGTAGCATTTTCAAAAATGCGAGATACTGTGCCAATTCAATAAGCTTATAATTGCTATTATGAACAGTAGCACGGTTACTGTAGCATACGGGGATACTGTAGCACTTTCAAAATGCGAGATACTGTGGTAATTCAAAAACTTATTGTAGCATTTAAGAAACATGATTGTTGTCGCATAAAAAAATTTATCGTCGTGCTTTGCACGGACCGCAAACTAGTTAAGAAGAAAAGGCGGACAAAAGGAGCCGAAGCTATAAACAATGGCAAAAATAAAAGAAAAAACAAACACCCCGCTATCTCAAAATCGGAGTGCTCCTGATTTATAAACGTGTCAAGGACTACAGCAGATCTATTGTTCAGTAGCTGACGATCCCCAGTTTAACTCTTGAAGCAACATATTTGCTTGGTCTCCATTTGCACCAGATGTCACACCATAATTTGACGTTAGCGATACGCCTTTCACATACTTGAATGATCACTCTGTCATTTGAAACTCGGTACTTCGGAAAACAAACTTACAGAGCTTGCAACGCATCACACGCGCGCGTTGTTTGGCTTTGTTTTCGCTTCATATCAGGGCATTCTCCCTGCATCTAGCTACTTAATAGTGATTGTATGACGGTGAAAAAAGTCCATGGAACTCTCAACGACCCAGAATTTCTACAATGACAATATTTAGAACTGTCCAGTATCGAAATTCGATCTTCCTGGATATCAATTGTTGTTTGTTACTGTAATGCAGAGAGATACGAGTCGAGTCAGCAAGACGGACGTTGGTACTTTTTCACCGACAGGACCCGAAAGTACCGTGGAGGGAACAGGCCGGCACGTTCCACGCCATCTGGCTTCTGGAAGCTCACTGGGTTAAAATCAGAGATCGAACACAATGGGAAAAAGATTGGAGTGAAGAACACACTCAATTTCTACTGGGGGCTTCAACAGGGGGAGAATTCAAGGACACAGTGGATGATGCGTGAGTACAGTATAAAGGAGTTTCAGATACCTAAGGAACCTGCAGGTTTAGAGGTAATTGCGTGAGTACAGTATAAAGGAGTTTCAGATACCTAAGGAACCTGCAGGTTTAGAGGTAATGAACCCAGGTCTATGTTTTTAGACGAAAGGAGTTTCAGATACCTAAGGAACCTGCAGGTTTAGAGGTAATGAACCCAGGTCTATGTTTTTAGACGTGATATATATGAACTCGCACGCAATATATGGATTATGGACCCTCCAGTATGAACAACCCATCGGATTGAATTTGATAGCGTAATACAAGAGATCAAAACACATCATGATGAATTAAATATGCACTCTTCCATGTAGTCATTCGCTTCAGTGCTACGTGTATATATCTAATTTCTATAGTCGGGAATCCTTGCATATAATTTACACAGGGAAGAATCTTAATCTGTAACAATTTTCCATAAAATTTAAGGCCCAACGTCAGAAAACTCTTGACATTTTAAGAAAAATTTAAACTTCTGGTGTCTTCCTCCCTTTGTGCTTAAGAAGAAATAATATATATAAATCTACTTATGCTCAAATTCCTTTAATGTTTGATATATTAGGGATTCTTTTGAGTAATCTAGACATATCAAAGTATGGATTCCTTTTATACTTCCGCTAATATTGTTGTATTATTATGTTGGACATCATCATGTTTAGGGGTAATTTACTTCTACTAGCTTTGAATGTAAATCATAAATCTTAAGTTACTGGTTTACTAAGCAGAAACTGGGATTTCATTTTGTGATGCAGCCGCACGTGAAGTTGGACGATGCAGTTCTATGCATGGTTTACAGAAACCTGAATGAAAATGCAGGAAGAAAAAGGCAAAAGCCGCCAGTTCATCCGCAGCCATCGATCCAATCCGCTGAACAGATTGAGAATTTGACTAGTGGTACTTCACAGTTCTTGTTTTATTAAGAAATTAGAATGTAGTTAGAAGATGTTGTCGTTTAGCCTAGTTAACATGAACGTAGCTAAGAGTTTGAACTGAAGTACACCCAAAATAAGTGGCTACAATAACATAATCATCAGAGTAACAATAGAAGGAACAAAATACCAAGGCTTCAAAACTGGATATAATATATATATATATATATATATATTGTGTAGTAAGAAATCAAGAATTTTGTAAAGATCTTAACATTAAATCTAGCTAGCTAACACTTATAAAATCATAATCTAACCTCTATGTCTTGAATTAAACAACTTAACTTCTGTATTACTTATCTCTCGTTTCAACCGTCTACAGGTTTTCGTGCTGAAGACAACAAAGGGAAAGTGTGCGAACAAATACCTGAAAATAACATGATGGTTAGAAATTTTAACACTGATGCAAGCGATACCAAAAGGGAAGACTATGCTGGAAAGATGCCTCCTGGATGGAAATTCTGCCCCAACGATGAACAAATCATCTCTGTATACCTCTACAAGAGAATTCACAACCAAACGCTTCCATGCAAAAATGTCATCAACGAAGTTCACCTGTATGAATTCGATGCTCCTGCTCTCATTGGTCAGTCCCTATGTGAACTCCCTCTTTATTTTTGGATGAATCTGATGTATTTGTTTATGATTGTGTGTATTAAGGATCTGAAGTCAGTGTGCAGCCCGTAATGCACTCAAATATCACTGTATCACTGCAACTATCAACTTCATAAAACAAGCTCACAACCCAGCCTTTGTTACAACCCACGCTCTCTACTAATAAGTTATTCCTTTTTCATCTTTTTTCACTTCATATGAAAGCATCAATAGAAAGGCATAGTAAGTTCAAATTGGCGATAGTACAGGGTCTATTCGCTACCTTATCTAGCATGGTTAGTTACGATTGAATATTCAAATTTGATCCGTTCAGATATAACTTGTTAATTTCTATTACGCAGAGGAATACCAGTCAAGCGAGCAGCATAAAAGTTGGTACTTTTTCACGGATAGGACCCGGAAGTACCTTGGAGGGAAAAGGCCAGCGCGTTCCACGCCAAACGGTTTCTGGAAGGCCACTGAAGCAGATACATTGATCAAAGACCAAGGGAAAGTTATTGGACGGAGGATGACTCTCAAATTTTTGTGGGGACATCAGCAGGAGGGAAAACATAGGGATTCAGGGTGGATGATGCGCGAGTACAGGATCGAGGAGTTTCAAATACCTTGCTCCCAGAAAAGGAAGGGGAAGACACCTAAAGACCCTGCACGTTCAGAGGTGAGTGATTCCTTTAATGTTTGCATTCTTTGCTTAATAAATCGAATTCTATCCTTTTAGGCATAATAAACATTACCCATAAAATTTCAAACCCCGGTATAGCTACGTGCATAGTAAATTCAATGGTAAAGTCATGATTGTACAAAAAACCTTTTGATGAATTTGAACTTTAGCAATTTTTCCTGTGTTCCTTTCACATTTAAGTAGAGATATCCTACTCGAATCCATGCGCAGATTCAGATTTTTTTCCCCACATATTAATCTTGTTTTTATCACTATTACTGTTTTGTTATATGTCAATGTTTCATTGTATTATGTTGGACATCATAAATTCTAGGGGTACTTTTTCTCCTTTTTCTGATATCATGGATCTTAATTTCCTTTTATTTTGTTATGCAGTGTGACATGAAGTTAGACGAAGCAGTTCTATGCAAAGTTTACCAAGTACAGAATAAAAATGCAGGCAGAAAAAGGCACGAAGCATCAGGGAATTCATCAAGTGATTCCTTATTAGACGTGGTTTATCAAACCCAATCGCTGAACCAGCTGGCTCCAGTTTTGGTCTCTCCAGTTCAAGACCAGAGGAATTCATCAAGTGATTCCTTACTAGACGTGGTTTATCAAACCCAATCGCTGAACCAGCTAGAGAAGAATTCATCAAGTGATTCCTTATTAGATGTGGTTTATCAAACTCAATCGCTGAACCAGCTGGCTCCAGTTCTGGTCTCTCCAGTTCAAGACCAGAGGAATTCATCAAGTGATTCCTTATTAGACGTGGTTAATCAAACCCAATCGCTGAACCAGCTGGCTCCAGTTTTGGTCTCTCCAGTTCAAGACCAGAGGAATTCATCAAGTGACTCTTTATTAGACATGGTTTATCAAACCCAATCGCTGAACCAGCTGGAGAAGAATTCATCAAGTGATTCCTTATTAGATGTGGTTTATCAAACCCGGAACCAACTGGCTCCAGTTCTGGTCTCTCCAGTTCAAGACCAGAGGAATTCATCAAGTGATTCCTTATTAGACGTGGTTTATCAAACCCAATCGCTGAACCAGCTGGAGAAGAATTCATCAAGTGATTCCTTATTAGACGTGGTTTATGAAACCCAATCGCTGAACCAGCTGGCTCCAGTTCAAGACCAGAGCACAATCCAACCATCGGGTCCATTTTTTCCTGTTCCGCTTCCAGCTTATGATCCTAACCATAACACAAATGGTTTGATGTTCTCTCGACCCAACGAAAGAGGGAGATTACTGAACCAAGTGAACCCAAACTACTTCAGTACAATGAACCAGACTCGCTCATACCCAACCAGTTTTCTCAATGTCAATGGAATGGGTGTACAATTGGGGTTGTCAGACATGCAACAATTCCATTCCAACTTGTCTAGCGACATGATGGCTCTTTCTCAAGACATCCATCAACGACAATTGAGCTTATCCCCAGAACAAAGTGAAAATTTATCGTCTGGCGAGGTATTAGATGTGGCTCATCAGACCCAATCACTGAGCCAGGATTCAACTGTAGACCTACCATCAAGTCATCCTTCTCCCGTTCCATGCTCGGCTACTGATTCAGTGTACAATAATGGATGGAGACTGTTCAACCAAGTGAACTCTAGCTATTCAAGTACAGTGAACCAGGATCAATCATATGAAACAAATTCTGTTGTCAACCCAAATCTACCCACCTGGTGCACTGGCTCGACAAATTTGAACAGCTTCTATGTTGATCCATCACAGTCTGGATTTCTCGACGAAAATGGATTTTTTCCGGTTTCAGACACGCAGCAATTACGTACAAACTTGTATTAGCTCAATAATGGACGGGTCTCAAGACAGCCCAGAGGAAACTCCGGGGTCTCAGCTGACATGAGAAAGATCATGAAAGCAATGTAAATGCTAGCATTTTTAGATAATGGGATTTATCCTGCGTGTGTAGCTAAGTTTTTTCTTTATTTATTTATAGACAATAGCTCGGTTACCTATTTTTTGTTTCATTTCAGGCGGACCTTTGCTTTAGATTTGCATCGGATGAAATACTCTCTTTCAAAGTAGGTTAATTTGAAACCTAAGCATATCAAGCAGAACAGATACCAGTTAACGCTCAAATTCTTTTATATACATCTCAATAGCTCAAAATTAACCTCAATAAAATCAGATGGATATAAGTATTTCAAATTAACAAATAAAAGAAACCCACATATACTGACCTAATCACTTAAAAAAATTGAAGATTTTGGATCCTGGGAATAACAAGACAGATACTGAATTGAAAATCTTGGTGCTGATAAGATGCCAAGAGCTTACCCAAGATTGACTGAGTTTTTGAAGGAGAAATTGCAGGGGGGGAGCCATTTGTTGGTAGTATGTTTGTGATTTAATTGGTCTTCTTCTTTTTGAGAAGAAAATTGTTCTTCTTCTTGAATGCTCGACTACCCATCAATCTTCTCGCAAAAGTCAAATGAAGTAATTTGTAGGTGTTTCAGATTAATGAACTTTATTTCTCTCTCATGGATTTGTGCTAAAATAGATACTGTCATCTTAAAATTAGAGAGGAAGCATAATAGTCATCCGAATTCAAATTTTGCTAGCCAAAATACAGTAGGAAAAGTGGGGGAAACAAATTATGGTTCAGGATTTCATTAGTCATTCTAGTGGATGCAGCTAAAAAGTTGCACAAAAAGAAAATTTTTAATTGAACTAGAGAGCTTCAATCACGCGGATCATCATTATTTATTTTGTGTTTTGAGATAGTGTTGTAGAATACACGATAGACATATTTATGAAGAAGCGGGACAGACACAAGCCTAAACGTGGACCTAGTAGAGCAAAATAACTTGCCACGAAGAACATGTCATATCTTTCAAACCAAAATCGTAATTGCAGGAATTATATATGAAAATCAAGTATTTTTTCGAGACAGAGTCGACCAGACCAATCGATGTTTGGTTTGCCACGTCCGTTTTGAGTTCATAAAAAAAAAACCCTTAAATTTTTAATTAAAAAACAACATAAAATTTTAAAATTACAAAAAACATTCCAAAAAATTGAGAATACCAAAAATACACCGTAAATCTAGGAGCTATAAACAACCTCTAGGAATAACAAAAAACACCCTAATATTTTAAATTTTTTCTGAAAAACCCTCAGAAATTAAAAATTAATAAAAAGTAAACTAAAAATGTCAAATTTTAGGGGAAAACACCTAAATATTTCAAACCTACAAAGAGTATATACCGAAAATCTATTGTGAGTAGCCCCTTAAAAATTTATAATCTCTAGAAAACACTCTAAAATTTTTAACAAAAAACCCCTAATTTTTTTTTAAAAAACCCTAAGAAGATAGAAATGAAAAAGCACATGGTTATAAGTTTTGTTCTCTTTAGAACGTATTTGTAAATTTTAACTTTTTTTTGGTCAATGAAATAAATTTTATTAATTTTCCAATTGAGAAGTTTAAGAACATCAAATCATTCTAGATTTTACTAGAAATAAACTATGAAAAAAGAAAAAAACTTTACATTTGCCCAATCTTTTCTTTTATGCAAGGAGAAATTTTATCATTCAACACTTTGGAGAGAATGGATAGCTTCATTGTCCGAAACAAAATTTCAGGATCTCTGGCTTTGTGTTGGAAAATCCTTTGATTCCTTTCTTGCCATATAGTATAAACTGATACTGCCAAAGCAAGTCCTTTAAGTTTCTTCATAAAGCCCAAACCCATCACCTCAAGCTATATCAGTCGATAACACTATCCCAGGTGCATGAATTCCAATTGTATTTCAGCCAGTCCATGACTCTATTGAGTCTATTCCATATATATTTACTGAATATACACATTCAAAAAAGAAGTGTTTGCAGCTTTCATGCTGTTGATGAAAACATAAGACACAAGTATTTGTGTCAAGCATCCTCATACGACAAAGTCTTTCTTGAGTTAATAATCTTGAATGAATGGCTAACCATAGGATAAAAGTGTAGAAATGGCGAGCGTATTGGCGAAGAACATTGGAAATGTCGAAGGAGTGCTTTTGGGCGTCTGGCGATCACCGGCAGTGGAGCGACGGTTGACCGCAACATGCACACATTGGAGTTTTGTTTCTGGAGTTTTGGCGATCGACCGCACGTGGTGCGGCGGTCTACCCTGCCTGGTCCAGAGAGTTGGGTGAGCCTCTGGACATTTCACGATCGACCATACTTGTTGCGGTCGATCGTTGATCGGGTTTTGGGTCTGGATCAGTTTTCCAGACCCGTTTCGTTTGGGGTTTGTTATAAATACTCAAAACTCATTTTAGGGCTTGTAGCAAGAGGGTTTTAGCAGCCATTGAGAGGGGTTTTGTGGGCTTCTACTGTTGGAGTATTTGGGAGAGATCAAGAGTGATTTGTTAAGGATTTTTTGTGAGATTTGTAACCCTAGTTGTATCCCCTTGATTTCTATTAGTGAAAACCCCCCCTCTTCCTTGCCCCGTGGACGTAGACAATTGTCGAACCACGTTAAAACTGGTGTTTGTGATTTGTGCTATTGATTTGGTTGTGTTTGGCTTTCTTGATCGGCTATTTGGTATTGGATCTTGGCACCGGGGTTACCCCAACAAGTGGTATCAGAGCGCCGGGCTACGCTTGGGCTTTTTGGAGTAGATCGTTTAGGAAGTTCATTAAGAGCTTCGGTTGGTGATAAAGATGGGATCTTTGTGGTAAAGACTATCTTTTTCAAGTTTGAATCTATTTCTTGTTTGTTCCGCAATTGTTTATTAGGTGCTTTGAGATATATGGTCGAGAAAGGAGGAGTTGTGGAGGGCTCTTCCGGGGTGAAGACCGTTCAAAGTTTGAATATCCACTCTATGAAGATAGATGTAGAGAAGTTCAATGGCACAAATAATTTTGGACTTTGACGATGCGAAGTCTTAGATGCGTTAAATGCGTAAAATTTAGAAGAGACGTTAGAGTTGGACGGGAAACCAGACGACATTGAAGAGAAGGTTTGGAAAAAAATGAATAGAACGACGTATGATGTGATTAAGTCTTGTCTCACTCAAGATCTAAAATATGATGTGATGAATGAGACTTCAGCTAAGAAGATTTGTGAGGTCCTAGAGAGCAAATATTTGACGAAAAACGTCAAAAATCGATTGCATTTGAAGATTAGGCTTTATCGCTTCCAATTGAAGAATGAGACATCCATTAGTGATCACATGAATCACTACACGAAAATACTTGCAGATTTGACGAATGTAGATGTCATGATTGAAGATGAGAATAAGACGTTGTTGCTATTGAGTTCCTTGTCCGATGAGGAATATGAGACCTTTATCCTTACTCTTATTAATGAGAATGCATCTCTTTCGTATAGTGAGGTCACCGCGCTACTTGTGAATTATCAACTTCGAAAGGACAATGAGACTTCTATTGAGCCAGTAGCGGGGGCATTGGTCACAACTCACAAGAGCTAAGAATCCAAATCGTGGTAGAATGTCGCAGTCTAGAGGGGCACATCCTGCAGTTGGTAGGAACCAGTGTGTTTTGTAGAGAGGATAGACATTAGAAAACCGAATACCCAAAATTGAATGATCGAGCTGGGAAGAATAAGGGAAAAGCCGTACATGCTTCAGAGGTGAATGTTGCCAAGGCTAGTGGCGACATTTCAGATTCGAATTCTTCGGGCTATTCATGCCCAGCACTTTTGTTGGTTTGTATTGCCGACTCCACCGAGTGGATATTGGATTCGGGTGCTTCATACCGTATTTGTCCTAGGAGGGATTGGTTCTCCAGCTTTCAGAAGTTCAAAAGAGGGGATGTGCTCATGGGTAATTATCACAAATACCCTATTAGTGGTATTGGTACTGTTCATATTCGAATGAGAGACGGGATGATTCGGGAGTTGGTTGAAGTGAGCTTCGTTCCTCAATTGAAGAACATCATTTCACTTAGGGTTTTGGAGGTAGCAGACTATAGGATGACCTTAGTGGATGCACATTTGAATGTCACATTGAGGTCCATGATTGTAATAAAGAGCGTTAGAAGGAGTAATTTATACTATTTGCTTGGGAGCACGGTGATTGATAGAGAGCTGACGACTTCTTTGGCTAGACTGTAGCATTGATTGATGCTGGAATATATGATTGGTGATGTTGTGCATAGATTGTTGAGGAGTGTTTTGACCTACAGATGAAAATCCTTTGAGCACATTGGGATGAGCGAAAAGACCAAGGTGGAGTTTGGCACTTCTATCCACCGATCGGGGGATATTTTAGGATGTGTTCAGTCAGGCAATTGGGGCCTTCCAAGGAGGCATCATTAGGAGAATCGTTTTTTGATTTCCGTAGTTAGGGATTGTACTAGGCATTTATGGGTTGCAACCAAGTCCCGTTGGTTTGAAGTCCTAGTAATCAGTAACAGTTGGAGGAAGTGTGTTGGCAGGAAGGGTATCCATTGTACTAGTTCTAGTAGGGGTTATTTCTTGCATTTGTGCCGAGCTCATAGCAGTTAGACACTTTGTAGGAGAGAAGACAGTGGGGCGACGAGATGAGATGACGGATTTGATGAGTTGTTCCTCTGGAGGAGGATCAGCGTTGATTGTCGAATATTGGATTAGGTGTTCACACTTCGACATGTTTGGATCATCTTATGTATAGGTTACCGACTGTCGCGATTGGTATTTTTGGATCTGGTGGAGCTGTTTCAGAGTTTAGGTTGTATCGGATGGTTAGTTGCTCAACACTTGGTCACATCGTGGATGTGAAATTTGATCCGATTGCGTATTTAGGATTCAAAGGCTCGTTTGGCTATCAGTTGGGAGCTTTTGATTCTGTTCTGAGCAGGTATGTCACTTTGGACTCTCGGCAGATAGAGTGTTGATCAGATCAGTTGGATATCACAGCAGGTGGAGTGTGATGCTACTCCATATTAGGTGAAGCTTAACTCTACATACTCCAGATCATACTGTATTATTTGGGATTCCAGCTGATGTGGCATAGTTTGGGGATCAGATTGTTCTGGA